GATCACGCCGGACTTTCCTTACATACTTGTATGTACACAAACACTTTCTTACACCTCATGAACATCTCTTCTTACTCACATGCATATGCTCCCATGCTTCCTACTTGTCCACTTTTGTTCTGTTCATGTGTCTATTTGTGTCTGTAATTTGCATGTGTATTTGTTCCTGCTGGTGCCTCTTGGCCAGGTTCTTGTTTGCAAATGGTTCTCAAACATTTTTACCTGGTAAAATAACAGTCAAATAAAACTACATAAATGTCCACTTTAGGAAGATCAAATAAAGAAACTGTGTGCATCGTAAAGCAGTAGGAGTTTGATCAGACATGGGTAATATAGCGCGTCGGTTACTATTTCCTCTCTGGATTCCCTCAGTGGCTTAAAGCATTGGCTCAGCCTCTACAGTGGGTTTCACTGCAAACAAAAAGAACAACCAAATTCTCACACATGTACTTTCCAGTGAAGACTGACCTTAAAAAAAACAAACCACACACAACTTTTTTTTAGTTTTAGCCTGAGATATGTCTGAAGCGGAATTTCTCACCGTGGGAAGGAACTCAACATGACTTTCGTTTCATTGAGGTTTGAGGCCTTTATTTTCACTGTAGTTTATTCTAACCTGTTCGTTTTTAATCATGTATAAGCTCAAATCGCCAACAGTTCAGCTTCAGTGTGCTCACTTTTGTAATGTCTCAGTCCTCATTACGGTCCTGCCGCTGAACCGGCTTTTTTTTATGAAATTGGTTTATTGATCCTGAGTTGAGACGACCCGAGTGTGGTGTTGGTCCCTAAGTATGGATGGATAAGAAGGCTGAGATCCGTGCAGCGCTTGTGTGGGCATTTATTGACACAAAGAGGCACATCAGTCCTAGAAAATGTACGCTGATAGCCTGGGATCTCTTAACTGCTTTGAGGAGGAGTGTCACTTAAAGGATTACTCATTTCCCAGACTTCTTTACTCAGACAGCATGAGTTAAAACCAAAGGGCCACATAAGAACCAATGGACCGAAACACCCTTTGTTTACACATTTACTAAAAACTGAAAGAATTCATGCACAGTTTTCCAACAAATGGCAGTTAAAATTGGGAACACTTCAAGTCTAGCTCTTCATTCAGTCCATTGGTGAGCTGGTGTGTCTCCAAAATTCTTTGTTTGAAAGGCGGTCGATGCAGATTGCTGCCTGACTTACTAAAAGCTGCATATTGTGGGGCCATATACCAGAGAATGCTTTGCTACAGCAGAATTTAAAATCTGTCTGCTGCTCAGGATTTAATGTTCTGATATGTGAATTTTTTTATCGTCTGCCCCACATCTAACAAGCCATAGAGGCATTTTAACATGTAAACAACCCCGCTGGTAGCACAAGAAATGCATCCCTATACATTTTTCCTGGCTCAGAGTGGGCCTTTGAGGGGTGGCTATTAGCCTGAGTAAGCACTTGAACAGTAAAGGCAATGAGTTATTTGACAGAGATGTAAATTTTCCTGCTATTACAGACAAAACTGACCGATTATGCTTGTGTAAATGAAACAACATTTAACAAAACTGGTTTAAAAAATGAATAAAAATGTGCGATTCTCAACTCTTATAGTTTTGGCACTTGACAAAAACTCCAAAAATTCCTCTGCAGAAAAAAAAAAAAACTAAATTAAAGCCGCAAGCGGCTACGCTTGTCGGCCTTCGTGCACGTCGGGGAGTTGTGGGCGGGACTGTGATCCGGCATGTCGGGTTTGGGGCAGATCGGAGCACGTGCGGCCTAGTTACGAGCCACTTCCTGTTTATTGGCGAGCCGTGGCGTTGTGCATGTAGGCCGTGGTGGAAACGCGCTCTGGCTGGGACTTGGAGCACGCACGTAAAGTTTCAGGCCGATCGGAGCACACACAGGCCAGCTACACAGCACGTGTCGTATTCTGGCGTTTTAGGGCGTTGTGAGTGACAGTCGTCATATGTCTGTGATGAGGGTTAGCGTGTGATGCAACATGTGAAGTTTTAGAGCAATTGGAGCATGTATGGGTTATTTACACTTCACTTCCTGTTTAATGGCGAGCAGAGGCGGCGTGCATGAATGTCACGGCAGAAACACGCCCTGGCTGAGACTCAGAGCACGTGTGTAAAGTTTCAGGCCGATCGGAGCACATACAGGCCAGTTACACAGCACGTCTTGTATGATGGCGTTCTATGGTGTTGTGGCTGAATTCAGGGGGGCGCCATTTCCACGCCGTCAGACTTTTGCAGACTGTTTTGCTAACATGTAATCACCACCTCCTGTAGGTTGTGCTCACCAAATGTCAAGTGTGTACGACCTTCCCTATAGGAGGAGATAGATTTTGAAAATGTCCAAAAGTCACCCAGAATCGCTAAAATTGTCACTGTGTTTTTTTAACATGGCGGACTTCCTGTTGGGTTTAGGACTTGGTGCTGATTGACTTTTTTGTGCGTCCTGACCTGCTACACATGCCCAGCGAATCTTGTCAGTGTAGGTGTAACGACCTTCCAACAATATTCAGTTGAATGCGAAAAACACCGCGAAAATGGACAAAATGGCCATTGATCAAAATTGGATGGGCCGCCATTTCCAAACCGGGCCTCATCTGCGGAGCGTTTGAAGAACTTTTAGTCACCACATCATGTAGTTTGTGCCTGCCAAATGTCAGGTGTGTATGACGTACGCAAATGGCCAAAAATGGCCCGACATGCTCGCCATTGTTCCAACATGGCGGATTTCCTGTTGGGTTTACAGAAACATGCTAATGGACTTTTTTGTGCGTCACGAGTTGTTACACATATGTGGCGAATTTCGTAGTTGTAGGTGAAACGTAGCCTCGATGGGACTCTGTTGAAATATTGTAGGGGGCGCAGTTGAGCCATGTTGCATTTTAGAGAAAAGTCCAGGTGGACTTTTTTGTTCATACCGACCAGCTCTGTATGTCTATGAAATTGCGTAGCCATTGGGCAAATGTGCTTCCGACAGGACTCCGTTGAAATTTTCAAGGTGGCGCTGTGGAGCCATTTTGGCAGTGACATTTTTTGATTTTCGCCAGTCCTGATGTGTGTGCCAAGTTTGGTGTGTGTGCAAGTATGTTAAGGGGCCTCAAAAACGAGTTTCTGCCTAACGTAGAATAATAATAATAGAATCTAGCATTCCAATAGGGTCTAATGTTCAGGTTCTCTATTCAGACATGTCGAGTGTGGTTTTTTATTACCTGACAGTTTCTGCGACAAACGCTCGCCTTCTTCAGAGATGACAACTGACAGCGAGTGACGTGTCAGCCGGCAGATTTTGACATTCGGCATCTGCGGCACGCCCAGCCGAGCCGCCAGACCCGCCGGGCAAGCCACGCCCACACCAAAATGGTGTGTCGTGGCGAGCCCAACAGACCCGACCGCCCCGCCAGGCGCGCCCCCACCGGTTACTTTTTCTGGAGCAGGGAGTCCCAAGCGTGCGAGAGCATGAAGCCCCCTTCGTCCCTGTTCATGGTCCTCTCAGCGCGCTTTCTGATTTCGATTGCCTCTCTGATCCATCGTTTGTGTCTGTCCTGTTCAATCCCGATTATGCTTGCCCCGTCCCAGTCCATGATGTGAATGTTTGTTTTACAGTGGTCCGATATTGCAGATTTGAGTTGTTCTTGTAGTGCTGTTTCTTTTCACATTCCTTCTGGTGTTCTTTCTTTCTGGTGTAAAATGGTCTGCCTGTCTCCCCGATGTATGTGCTATTGCAGGACTTGTATGGTATTTCGTATATGACGTTGCACTTTTGTTCCCCCTCGATCTTGTCCTTGGGGTGTACCAGCAGTTGTCCTAGTTTTGTGTGTGGTTTTATTGCAGTGCCGATGTTTTTTCATGATGCGCTGTATCCCCCGGATGTATGGTAGTGATACTATGGTTTTGTTGTTGTCCTTGGCTTCCTGTGCTTTCCTTGGTTTTTGTTGTTTTGTGGTTTTCTGCTTGTTTTTGACCTGTTGTTTTCCTTTATTGATAGCCCATTATGGATACTGGCAGCATGTGAGTACCTGCTGGATGTGTTGCTCCTCCTGTTGTCTGTCCTCCTCTTCCGTGATATAACTGGTTCTTCCGTATAGTGTTCTGACGACTGATGGTTTGTGTATTGTTGGGTGTTCTGAGGTCCAGAGAAGGTACTGGTCAGTGTGGGTGGGCTTTCTGTACACTGTGATCTTTATGCTGCCGTCGTCCTTGTGGTGAATGTTGATGTCCAGGAAGGCCAGAGTTCTGTTGTTCTCCTCCTCGTGTGTGAATTGTATGTTTCCTGTGGGGTCCATGGGTCCATGTCGGGTCTGTTGGGCTCGCCACGACACACCATTTCGGTGTGGGCGTGGCTTGCCCGGCGGATCTGGCGGCTCGGCTGGGCGTGCCGCAGGTGCCGGCTGTCAAAATCTGCCGGCTGACACGTCACTCGCTGTCAGTTGTCATCTCTGAAGAAGGCGAGCGTTTGTCGCCGAAACTGTCAGGTAATAAAAAACCACACTGGACATGTCTGAATAGAGAACCTGAACATTAGATTATAACCAAGAAGACATGATGAACGTTTTCGAGCTATTCCAATGGGGTCTTTGCACCCTTTGGGTGCTCGGACCCTAAAAATGTATAATGCGGGTGCCTGTGCTCTTTACTGCATGAAGGAAATCAAGGTTATTATAGACTCTGGACTGACTTTAAATCTGCTGCATTTCTAGTTTATCTTATAGATGCTTTCTCTCTTCTGTCGTTTTCATAAGATCTCCAAACATGCCAGTGTTTCAAAGACAGTGATTTAATTTTGCCTGACCGAGGTTAAACATTAGAAGTAAACACACATGAATGACTCCTGTGAGACTCTTTACACCTTTCTCTGACCTTGTTGATCCAAAACAGTGGGATCAACACCTGACAACCAAAAACACACATTTTGTGGTAACAAACGAGCCCAGCTTTAGGATCGACAGTGTGCGTTTGCTTTGTTTCTCAACTGTGTAACCTCTCTGTGATTCCAAATTCTGCCTCCAGGTTGGGAATCAGTGACTAGATGGAGAAGGCAAAAGGCTTCAAAGGGAACCTTTTCTTCCTCTTCATCGCTACGTTCATCTTCATCTTCATCCTCAGCCTGAAAACACCCAGGACGTACAGGTCGACCCCGCAGCCACGTTGGGCTCCAACCCCTGCCACCTGCCCCCTCGTCTCCAATACAACCATCACCCCACTCCAAAACACCCAACACTTCCTGGTGTCGGCCTACATGGACCAGAGAGTGGACGGTTTGGACGTACGCATCATTGGCATATTTAGAAGAGACTCCATCCAACCACTTCAATGCTTCTTCAACTGTGGAAGCCGCTGCAACAACAGCGCATTTTTGACATCTCCGACGACAGTTTTGCAGCACTCGGACAACTTTGGCTTTCCCTTTGTCACCACAGATGCCATGTGTTCGATTCCTAAAGACTGTCACCCTACCCATGTCACTCTTCTGACTCAACCGCACACACTGAGAGGGTCCGACCTGAGCTGGCTTCCTATAAGAAACCAGAAGACCAACGGCAAAGAGACGAGGTTCAAGTTTAACTTCACAGTCTGCGTCTCCAACCTGTTTGGAGACTACAACAATGTGCTGCAGGTTGCACAGGCTCTGGAGATGTACAGGTCAGCACAGCAACAGCACCACAAACCACACTGTCAGAATTTAGCAACTCCAAAGTGTTTCTCGGCTCCGACTGAGAAAAGTCGATAGTGCTTATTGCGAAGGGGTTTGCTTATTGCAGTGTTTCTCGATTGCATCACATTATACAGGTGTTTCTGTTCCTGGTGCTGCTAAGTAGGGCTCTCGCTTTCAAAAAGACTCGGTGTGTTTTCCCATGTGTTGCCTTGTTACTCCGAGAAAACCACAGTGCCCTCTATGAGTTTCTTTTCATTTCATGTTTTTTTTTTAGCTGTGCTAGACTGAAAGAACTACGGATGACAGTTTTAGTGTGTTGTGAGTGCGCTCGTCTGTCTTCCACTTTAGTCCAGGCTGAAATTTCTCAACTATTAGACGGCTTGCCATTAAAAAAATAAATAGATAAATCCATTGTCTCCTGAGGATGAACCCCTGAGCCCCTGATTTTCCATCCAGCATCAGCCTAAGGTTAAAATTTTTGTTTTCTAATGAACAACGTCTGTTTATTGGATCACCGTAGAATTTACAGATTTATGTTCTACCTAAACTTTGGTGAGCCTTCAAGTAGCTCACAGTTTTATTTCTAGTTTGACGTTACACATTTAACTACCATCAGCCAACATGGTAAACATTAGAGGTGCGTTCTGGTACCCGACTCACCGTATTCAGTATTGCAGAAAAGATTTTGCATGTCCGAAAACACATGTATACGTAGTATGTTGAAATGCAGGATGCCGACATCATCTAATTCCGTTTTGCTGTGTGCAACCAGCATATTTTCTGTCCATTCTGACCCCCCCTTGATCCTCTGTGTAGCAGAAGATATGTCACAAACATGTGGTGACAGACAGATCACAGCTCATTTCCCCCCACACATACTGCGACGGATATATGAGCAAGATTGTGAAAGCTTATGGTGGACTAGTGTCTCTTACTCCATATTGCAACAGAACATATGTTGTAAGGACAGAATGCACTGACAGTGAAAAGATGTGCTATTTGGAAAGTGTGCATCTGCTCAACACTCGCATGGTCATGATTGCATGCTGACATCAGCAACTTGCTCAAAGAATCAGTATTTCCACAAAGTGTCGTCACAGTGGCTATAATAAGTGTTTTTATGTTTGCCCCGTCCACATTTNGGCGTTGTGAGTGACAGTCGTCATATGTCTGTGATGAGGGTTAGCGTGTGATGCAACATGTGAAGTTTTAGAGCAACTGGAGCATGTATGGGCTATTTACACTTCACTTCCTGTTTAGTGGCGAGCCGAGGCGGCGTGCATGAATGTCATGGCAGAAACACGCCCTGGCTGAGACTCGGAGCACGCGCATAAATTTTCAAGAAGATCGGAGCACACACAGGCCAGTTACACAGCATGTCTTGTGTTATGGCGTTTTATGGCGTTGTGGCTGAATTCAGGGGGGCGCCATTTCCACGCCGTCACACTTTTGCAGAGCGTTTTACTAACGTGTAATCACCACCTCCTGTAGTTTGGGCTCACCAAATTTCAGGTGTGTACGGCCTTCCCTGTAGGAGGAGATAGATTTTGAAAATGTCCAAAAGTTACCCAGAATCGCTAAAATTGTCACTGTGTTTTTTCAAAATGGCGGACTTCCTGTTGGGTTTAGGACTTGGTACTGATTGACTTTTTTGTGCGTCCTGACCTGTTACACATGCCTAGCAAATCTTGTCAGTGTAGGTGAAACGACGTTTCGACAATATTCAGTTGAATGCGAAAAACACTGCGAAAATGGACCAAAATGGCCATTGATCGAAATTGGACAGGTCGCCATTTCCAAACCGGGCCTCATCTGCGAAGCGTTTCGACAACTTTTAATCACCACCTCCTGCAGTTTGTGCTCACCAAATTACAGGCATGTATGACGTACCCAAATGGCCAAAAATTGCCATTTTTGGGCGAAAATGGCCCGACATGCTCGCTGTTGTTCCAACATGGCGGATTTCCTGTTGGGTTTGCAGAAACATGCTAATGGACTTTTTTGTGCATCATGAGTTGTTACACATGTGTGGTGAATGTCGTAGTTGTAGGTGAAACGTAGCCTCGATGGGACTCTGTTGAAATATTGTAGGGGACGCAGTTGAGCCGTGTTGCATTTTAGAGAAAAGTCCAGGTGGACTTTTTTGTTCGTACCGACCACCTCTATATGTCTATGAAATTGCGTAGCCATTGGGCAAATGTGCTTCCGACAGGACTCCGTTGAAATTTTCAAGGTGGCGCTGTGGAGCCATTTTG